CAACAACAACAACAGCTCCAACTTTTTAAAAAATTAACGACAAAAACCAAAGAACAAAATACTAGTTTTTTCTCTGCCAAAGGTTTGTAAATTCGTTAACGGAATTTCATTATGACCCAGACAATGAGATTACCTTCCTGGCATATTTTAGAAAATACGAATCTATATTTACAAAAAGATGCCAAGACTGGTCACATGAGGAAAAAGTTACTCTTTTATTACAAAAAATGGGGACAGATGAAAATACAAAATACTCTAACTTAGTATTACCAAAGAAAGTGGAAGAAGTCTTGTTTAAAGAAACAATTAAAACCCCATTAAGGATATTCGATGAAAGAGATAGCTTGTTCCACACGTTGCAAATGCCTTAGTATCGTTAAGCCGTTACTGAACATTTTTGGATCAAAGAAGGGCATTCCAACTCGTACTGCAAACCGATTACAATGGTGGCGTGTAACATTATTGAATTACCATTTTAATTTTAATTTTTAGATGAGATGTACTCCATTTTAAAATGGAGTACATCTCATCTAAAAATTTGGGTCATGCAGATGGACTATCAAGGTTGATTCCAAAACATAATGAAACTTTGGAAGAAACTGTAATTGTGGCTTTAAAGGATGAACAAGAAATATCAAATTTGCTGTGTAATACTGTTCAGGAACTACCGGTGATGCTGGGAGACATAAGGAAAGCAGTAAAAAATGATAATTTTATTAAAGATATGAAAATACAAGCCAGGATAGATGAAAGAAGTAAAAAGGGAATTAAAATTTCTCTTTATTCCATCTGTAAAGATATGCTAATATATGCAGACAGGGTAGTGATACCACAGGCATTACATAAAAAGATCTTAAAAGAATTTCATATGAGTCACCCTGGCATATCTCGTATGAAATGTCTTATGAGAAGTTATGTTTTCTGGCCACAAATAGAAATAGACATTGAAAGTTTTGTGAAAAACTGCAGAGGGTGTCAGTTAGCTGCAAGAGCACTGTCAGTTAAAACACAACCATGGCCAGAAACAGATATCCCCTGGACACATCTACACATTGATTATGCAGGACCACTTAACAAGTATTATTACCTGATCATTGTGGATATTTTCTTGAAGTTGCCAGAAGTTTTTAAATACAAACACCTGACTTCTAGAAATACTATCAGTGCATTAGACAAAGTTTGCAGCTGCTTTGGAGTTCCTCGGACATTGCTCAGTGGTAATGGAACTGCATTTACAGGTAAAGAATTCAAAGAATTCTGTGCTTCATTGGACAAGGTTAAATGGACAAATGGAAAAATTTGTGGGCACATTCAAACGAGCATTAAAGAAAAATCAAGAGGTAGACACAGAGGAGAAAGCTATACAGAAATTCTTAGCAGTATACAGGGTAACACTGAATGCAAATAATACAGCAAAATTGTCACCTGTGGAATTGATGTTTGTGAGAAAGATAAGATCAATATTCGACAGATTGTTGCCTTGTCCAAAAAAGAAAATGCATGACAAAGAGAATTTCTGTGCAAAGAAGTATATGACTGGTGACAAAGTTTCCTTCCCAAACTACTGAGGTGGAAAATGTTTTTGGGAGGATGGAATTATTTCAAATAGAATTAGAAGAGTAATCTATACGGTGAATGGAAAAAGATGTGTATGCAAAAGGGATGTAAACCAGTTAAGACTAAGATACTCTGAAAATCGTTCAACATGATGATGAAGAAACTCCAATGAATGTACTGTATGACACGTTTGAAATAACACCACCCACTAACATACCAGAACACATGATACTTCCCTGCCCCAGAGCTCCATCCCTGGGCTGGTGGTATCACGACTACGACTAGCTTGGACCGGCTCTGACCAGTTTGGACCAGCTATGACAAGCCAAGACCAGCTATGACTAGCTTAGACCAGCTCTGATCAGCTTGTTTTTTTATGACCAGCTATGACCAGCTTGGCTGAAATGACCAACAGATGAGGAAGGGCCAAAAAAAACACTCAGCTCCCCACGTTAAAAGCTGACCTTGTGTCACGACCTGACTCAGTGGGGGGTCAAGTAAATATCTATACCAGAACACATGGATACATCTCCTACACTAGCATTCTGGTATGTTGCCCATAGCAATGAGATGTTATTTGCCTCAAAAGAGTACAAGGAAAAGAAAACCCACAGAGCAGTTAAGTCCAGAACCAAAAAAGAGAAAGTATTAGAAAGCTAAATTTTCTAGAGGAAAATTTCAGTTCGGGGGGTGGGGGTGATGTAAAGGAATAACCTGTTACCCCTATGAGTGACTACGCTATAGGTAGTAACTACCTCTAAGTATCTGTCAGTCAATGACTACAGAGCCTAGCTGGGATCTGTTGAGTACAACTCAGTCTTACGTGAGAGCACTCACTACTGGATTGACTTGTGACAACTTTGTTACCTTTATTCTTATTGTACTGGTTATTACAATAAACCTTTACTTATTTTATCCACCATGTTTATCAAGTATATATTCCTATTAGCATGGAATATAAAAATAGGCTAAACTCAAAATTTCCTGGATCAGAAGACACCTGAAGAAGGATGGAGAGCACTATGGATGAAATGTTGATCAGGACAACAATGATGAAACCTATATGGTTAGTTTCCATGGCCTAAGAAGTAAGGCAGATGCACTAAAACTAGACAGGCTTTTTAAAGAAAAAGGATATGAGTTTAAATCATGTCATAAGTTTATTTTTTTTATTTCTGATCCACTCTGCTTATTAACAATTACAGAATAACAGTCTGGGAGTTGAAGTTAGAAAAAATATTCATAATGTGAATTTGATCTTCAGTGCTACTGTTTAGCAATGGCCTACTGTTAAAAAGTAGGTAAAAATTCTTTTTGAAAATAATTTTTCTAGATTAGCATTTGTTATGGTCCAGAATGATAATGATATTTCATCATTCTAAAAATAACCTTGTCATTAGTGATGATAGGAAAGAAGGATATTTCATCATCCTAACCCTCATCATTATGAAAATGACCCTTCCATCACGAGACAGTCAGTAGAGTATAGAACAGTAGAGTAGACTAGGGTACTTGTAGCAGTAGTCAGTAAATGAGTAGACAAGTAGCAGGACAGAAACATATGTCTAGCCAGTGCTTCATGAAGATCGAAAAGAGACAATTTTAAGAAATTCTTAGAACCAAACCAAGTAACCACTGATTGTTAAACAAAAGAGACACTGAGAACATTTTACACACATCATACCAATATCTGTAATTCACATCACAAATAGAAAATACAAATTTTTGTTATTTATGTCAACACATGTCTCAAGTTTTTATTGTTGTTATCATTGTAGATTTTATGCATTTTAATTTCTGTCATTAATATTAACCTCATTACACATTCTTTAAACTTTCCTTGTCAGAATCAAAAAATATTAATTTGTTATCATTTTAGAAGCAGGTTCCTGTTCATAATATCAATACAGTGTCAAATTGATCTTTAACTATTACAAATTTATTTCAATGTTATCATTTTAGAAGCAGGTTCCTGTTCATAATATCAATACAGTGTCAAATTGATCTTTAAACTATTGAAATTTATTTCAATGTTATCATTTTTAGAAGCAGGTTCTGTTCATAATATCAATACAGTGTCAAATTGATCTTTAACTATTACAAATTTATTTCAATGTTATCATTTTAGAAGCAGGTTCCTGTTCATAATATCAATACAGTGTCAAATTGATCTTTAACTATTACAAATTTATTTCAATGTTATCATTTTAGAAGCAGGTTCCTGTTCATAATATCAATACAGTGTCAAATTGATCTTTAACTATTACAAATTTATTAGAAATTAAAAGTCTGTTTACAATTGTCAATTGAAACCATACTTATGTTATTGATATCTGCATAAAAAACAGTTTTTTTATTTATTTTACAAAACGATTTCTTTTAAATAAAGAAAAAATGTATATATACATTTATATGTGTTTTATTTTAAGAAAATATTTTAAACAAGCAATTCTTTGGTAAAATAGATTTAAATTTTTTTTTTTTTACAAAAAGATTGTTTGTCATTAGAGAACAAGCATATATTTATATATTTTTTAAATAGAGACATAAAATAAAGAACAAAAAAATTGCATAAATTAACAAATTTATAAAAAAAATATATGCAGATATTAATAACATAAGCACATTTTCCAGACATGACATTGAGAATGATAATCTACAAAAATTATATCTTAAAAAATTTTCCACAATTTTTTCAAGTGAACCAGTCTATTTATGTAGTCCCAAAAACAGTATACAAAAATCATTTCCCCATAAATAGAGTTTATTAATGACAACAGTGAGTTGATAATGTACCTTAATTTATCTACAATAGGAAATCATTAAAAACCTTCAAATGCAACTGCTCTGCTATGATTTTAATGCACTTTTGTTGGTAAGGGACACAGTAAACATCCAGGGTAGTAAAACTAAACAAAGCTAGCTAGTTAGCTAGCTAGCGCTCTCTCTCTCTCTCTATATATATATATATATATATATATATATATATATATATATATATATAGGATGAATTAGAGAAATAAGCATTCACATAAGAAGATAGCTTAGAACTATATGTGAACACAAAATTCCAGGTATGAAAGGAAATTAAATAGTGTCTTGTCATACTGCCCAAAGCTATTTCAAATATTTTTCTAGGGTATTCAAACGTCACTTTAAATAAAGCCCAGAATTTGACAACCATCAATTGTCAGTTACGACATTTACAAATGCAAGATAGAGGAGAACCTAACCATCAGCACTAAAAAAAATAATTTCAGAAGAGTCATCTAAAATATCCTTTGTAGAGTATTATATAAGTTTTAAAAAACTAAGCTCTGTATAAAATAATATTTTTGATACACCCATAATATATAATCAATATTTTACAAAATTTCAGCAAATTAAAATGAATGCGGTACTCTTTTTTATTTCTTTCTCAAAGTTTGGGAAATTTGACTCACCAATAGTTTTACTAATAATTCCATGAATGTAATCCACCTTTCGGTCATTTGGATGAAGCCAAAGAATTGGAAGCCGTGTCAACTCCCGACATAATTTTTTATCTACAAAACAAAAATTTATATATTTAAAAACCTTCACCATGAGTCAATTTAAATTATGAAATTAGGCAACTTTTCCACACACTCAATTTATTACCAGATTTCATGGGACAAGGACTAGCAAAAGATTTAATGAGTGGATAATTCAAGTATTCTTCTTTTATAATTTATAAAAATGCTAAATGTTGTAATAGATATGTTGTAAATGATAAAATCAAAAACTTGATGAAACTTTAGCCTGGCTACACTGAACGAAATTTCTGAATAACTTTATCTTTAAGCAAATAATATTCAAAACCATGAAAAAATTTGTAGAATGTTTGAATAAATAAATAATAGAGAAAGAATCAAGTTGACAGAAAATAATACAATTTGCTTAAATTTTTTATCCTGAATTTGGGTTGTATCATCCTCATAAACATGACCCTATTCTGTAAAGATTAATTTAATTATTTATTGTCAACAATCCAGTTCTTCTTCATTTCCAATTCAATTATAGTAAAAATATTTGCAATCCAAATAGCTCTATTCTATTGGTAGTACTTACCTTGATTCATGACTTCTGACAAACCAGTTCTTCATTTACAATTCAATTATAGTAAATATATTTGCTATTTAAATAACTTTATTTGGTTAGTAAAGCTTACCATGATTCATGACCTCTGACAATCCTGTTCTTCTTCCTTTGCAATTCAATTATAGTAAAAATGTTTGCAATCCAAATAGCTCTATTCTGTTAGTAGTATATAGCAAAAAAGCTTTAAACATTGTTTCTTTCTTTGCAAACAATGTGTTCAAATAATTGATATGGCAGCCCAATTCCACAACAAAGTAAACAAATTGCATGTCCAAACTCAAAGATCCAGAAGGAGAAAGAAATATTGAAATCATGAATTGTAGGTCCAATGTCACAAATCCCAATACACATACATGGTAAGAAATCAGCATGCAAGCTGATGGACAAGGCAGAAAAAATAAAAATGACTTGTTTTTTCAATTTGAGAAAACCAACTGCTTTTGTCAACAGAACAATTTTTTCATTGGTCAACAGGTGGGAGAGCATGCATAATATTAGCATATCCAAGACACATTTATGGCAACAGCTACAACTGACTTGTTTCAGTTTTGGTTATTTTGTCTTTGGCATATCGTACAGAACACAAGTGCCCTTTTTCTCAGTAAGTGACTTTCTCTTTTGCCACATAGTACTTATCCTGATTGATGACCCCTGACACTCCAGTTCTTCATCATTTCCAATGCTTTTTATACAAAATTATTTACAATTCAAATAGCCCTATTCAGTTGGTAATGCTTACCTTGATTCATGACCTCTGACAATCCAGTTCTTCTTCATTTACAATTCAATTATAGTAAAAATATTTGCAATTCAAATAGTTAGTAATGCTTACCTTGATTCCTGACCACTAACAATCTTGTTCTATTTCAAATTTTCTATTAATCCAATCATTCCTATCAAATGAAATGAAGGTCATCCTGAATGGGCTCTCTTCCAGTTCCTTCCATACAAATGCTGGTGTTCCTCAAGGCTCTATCCTTGGTCATACACTGTTTCTGATCTTCATCAATGATCTTCTTGACGTCATCAGTTCTCAAGTAGGCCTCTACACAGACGACACTACAATTTACTTCTGTCTCAATAGTAAATCTGGCATTGCTGACAAAGTTAACCTGGCTGTTGGTCTTGAAAACAACCTCCAATCTGTGGTTAACTGGGGCAGGAAATGGCTTATGAAGTTTAATACATCCAAAACAAAACTGCTGTCATTTACTCACCTTAGAGAAACTTCCCCACCTCCTATCAGCATGGTTGATGCTCAACTCCATGAGATCACCTCACTGTGCTTTCTTGGTCTCATGTTTTCCATTGTGCTGAGGTGGAACAACTACATTGAATCAATAGCTATGTCTACCGAAAGAAAAGTTGGTTCTCTGTGTCGTGCCAGAAGGTTTTTCTTGGCTGAGTCCTTCAAATCTACAAATCTACCATTCGTCTTTGCATTGAATACTGTTGCCATATATGGTCTGGTGCCCCCACTGTTCATCTCAAGGTTCTTGACAAAATCTAAAGATGGATATGCAATGTGATCGGTCCTGATTTGGGGTCTCGACTCCAGTCACTTTCTCACCAATGTAATGTGGCTTCCCTCTGTCTTTTCTATAAATATTTTCATGGCATCTGCTCTGATGAGCTATTTTTACTGGTGCCCCAACCACATGAATTTAAGCATGATACTAGGTTGTTATCGCCAGTCCCACCCTTTTACTGTCAAAACAGTTAAATGTAACCACCTCTTCTACTCCAACAGCTTTTTCTATTGCACTTCCCGACTGTAGAACTCCCTTCCTCTTACTTGCTTCCCTGATAACTATAATCTTCAAAAATTTAAAAGTAATGTCAATCAACATCTATCTTGATCCCCATTCTTCTTTTTATCCTTTCTTCAATCCACCCCCACTACCCAGTTTTTTTCCCTTACTTTCACTCTCTGTACCCCTTGCATACTAGTGGCACTCCCACCTTTCTTGATGCTTAAAAAAAGAAAAAAAATGTATCACAGGTTTATTTAAATGTCTATGCTGCCCAATATGTGTACCCACTGAAATAATATTTATACTAAAAGAAATATTGTTGGATTGAAAATATTAATTAACTGCTTAAATTACTTTGCTCAAGTACAAAATATACCTTAGCAGATATGGATACCAAAAAGCCCCAATGAGAGATGTACAATTCTTGGAAAGGATAATTGAGATTTGCTTTGTTTTGTAATAATGAATACTCATTGTCACTTTCATAATGCTCGTTGTAGTAGAGACTTTGTAATCACAGATACAGCTATAGTAACGCCATTGTACAATATTGGTGTCAAACACTTTTGTATAATACTCGCACTAATAGTACTTGATCAATAATACTTGCTCAAATAGTAACCACTGAATAGTGATTCAAACAGTAATCTGTATAATAATCCATATAGTGATCTGAATCATAATCCATATAGTGAGCCAAATAGTAATCCGTATAGTGATCGGAATATTAATCTGTATAGTGATCCATATAGTGATCACTTAGACGCCATGCTAATTCCTATATATACATTCCTTTTAACCTCACGTGATCTACTTATTCAAAAATGGGATCACCTGTGTTTGCTCTCTGGTGATCTGTGTTCAAACTCCAGTGTCAGCAGCAACACTTTGGCTCAGTAGTTAAAAATTCTGTTGGCATTCTTTTTCTTTTGCCACAATCCCAAGGTTTTATCAATTTCTGATGGTGTGGGTACATTAAACATGTCATACAGAATTTCCATTTGTACCTCTTTTCGGAGACTTTTTAAATCAGTGAATCTGTCTTTTAACTGATTAAGGTATTGCTTATGTTTGCACCTTTGTCCCTGTACCATGCATGTCATTTTCCAATCCATTTTTTATAACACCATCTTCCCAGAATTCCTTTCCATGCTGATACATCTTAAAAAATACCTTATCTCCAGGTTTGAAGTATCTACTTGTATTGTTGCTTCTTGATGTTCTTGCCTTGTGTTCTGGTAATAATTTATTGAAAACAGACTTAATCTTCCTGGCAAACATCAACTTTGCAGGTTACATTCCAGATATGGTGTTCAGGTTTGATGTTATTCTGTAAACATTCAAAAATTGCTGAATCATTACTTCATCTGACTTCTCTACCTCTGGCTTTTTAGTGCCATTTTAAATGTACTGACAAACTGTTCCACTTGTTCATTTGATCTTGGGTGATAAGAGGTAATATGTTCAATTGCTAATGATTTGCAAAATAGTTAAATTCACCAGAAATGAATTGAGTTCCATTATCTGAAATGATAGAGTCAGGAACACTGTACCTTGCAAAAATTTCATGTAGGAATTTTATTGTTACCGTGGTAGTTGGTCTTCTATATTTTAATATTTCTGGCCATTTAGTATGACTATCAACTACCACTAAATAGTATGCTCTGTTTAACAGTCCTGCAAAGTCTATATGTATTATGGACCATGGAATATCGGTTTTTGGCCAAGGTTGAATTTTGATAGGCAGTGATTTTACTGCCCAGAGCAGAACCTCTGCATGATTTCACTAAATTTTCGATATCCTTATCCATTTTTGGCCTATAAGTATAACACCTCATTAAGGATTTCATTCTAGAAATTCCTGGATGTCCTCTGTGAAATTCTGTGAAGTATCTACTTGTATTGTTACTTCTTGATGTTCTTGCCTTGTGTTCTGGTAATAATGATGCTGGTATCACCACTCTCTCTGTGTACGTAAGTACATCATTACATAATGAAAATATATTACTTTGAATAATATTTTTCCTTTAGATCTTAATTTCTCCTTCATTTTCATTATAAAGCCATCTTTTTCCACCTTAATTTTTATTTCCTCCAATGTTATGAGCAGTTCTTTTAAAGTATTGTATAATACATTATTAATTTCATTTTCAGCCTTTATTGCCGCAATTACTGTGTCTTCAAGTGGTTCACAGAATCTTGGCATTAATCTAGACAATCCATCTGCATGACTTAATTTTTTGGATGGTAGAAATTCTATTTTATAATTATAATTCAATAGGATAGTTCCCCAGCACTGTAGTCTATTCACTGTATACATGGGAACACCCTTTTTTGATCCATATATAGACAATAATGGACGATAGTTGCTGTAGTATGAATTCTCTACCATGCATGAATTTGTAAAGATTTTTCATGGTAAATATGATGGCCAGTGCTTCCCTTTCTATTTGGCTGTAGCTTCTTTCAGCTGCAATTAATGAACTTGAAGCATGAACTATTGGTTTAGTTGTTCCATCCTCATATCACTGCTCCAATATCCAAATCACTTGCATCTGATGCAACCACAATATTTAATTTAGGGTCAAAATGAGCTAGTGACAAATCCAATGTTAAGACTTTCTTGGTCTCTTTGAAAGTACCTTGACATTTATCTGTTCAATCCCATCTTTCTTCAGCAGGTTATTCAATAGTGGTCTTAATTTGTGCATACTAGGTATATATGTATGATAGTAGTAAGCAAACCCTAAAAATTCTTCTAATTTTATTACATTTGTTGGAGTGGGAATATCCTTTATTGCACTCACCCTTGAAGGATCCAGCTGTCTACCATTTTCATCAATAATTTGTCCTAAATATTTAGGTCTGCACATAAACAATTTGCATTTACCTTCACTAAACTTAAAACCATATTCTTTGATTCTCTCAAAGACTTTCTTTACATCTTCTGCATGTTGCTTTTGGGTCTTACATAAGTACATCATCCAAATATGCTTGAGCACAATCCAAACTGGCAAGCATGGTATCCATTATCTGTTGGAATTTGCTTGGTGCTACCTTTATCCCAAAAGGAAGTCAGTTGAATTTGTATAATCCTCTATGAGTGTTGTTAATAATTTTGAGCAGTCTTCATCCACTAGTACTTATAGGTAAGTGTCTGATAGATCCAATTTAGAAAAAAAATTACCTCCATTCAATTTGGCAAAAATTTCTCCTAGACTTGTTAACAGGTAGTTATGTTGTTTTAAATTTTCATTTAACCCCATTGAAAAATTAGCACATATGCAGATTTTATTATTCATTTTTTTTAGTGTAGACTGTTGGTGATGCACATTTGGAATAGTCTATTTTTGTTATCACACCTAATTTTTCTAGTCTGTCCAATTCATTATTAATTGGATTTAAAGCTGCAAAAGGTACACTCCTTTTTGGCTTAAATGTTGGTGTCTTTTAACTTAAACTTAGCTTTTGCTTTCGTGCATGTTCCTAGACCTTCTGAGAAAACTTCTGGAAAACTCTTTTTCAGTTCATTTTTTCAGTTGCTGTATTAGTACCGGGGGTAACAATATTTATCTTGTTGCAAAAAGAGTTAATTGGAAGGTCCCAAAGTTGAAACAATGCAATCCCGTCTATTTCAAACAAATTAGCAGTATTCTTTAATACACCACCACTTTTTTAGTTTTTGCTACTAAAGAAACATTACATCTGAATTCACCCAAAAAGTTCAATCTTTTTCCTGAGACTCCATGTGCAACTTTACCAGAAGTCAATTAACTGGGTTTACCCATTTTTCTCCATGTCTGATAATTTGTGATAGTGATATCAGATCCTGTATCTAGTTGCAATTTTATTTTTACATCATTAATTTGCACAAAAACAAATTTCCTCATTTGAGATGTCTTGTTAATTTCCCTTTTAGGCTTCTTATCATTACTCCATATATTCATCATGTTCACATATTTTATTTTTAATCCATTTTTTTCTATCTTCAACACATACTTTTGTGTCCTAATCTCCCACATTCATAGCATTTTTTGTTCTTGAAGAAACAATCAAATTTAAAATGCTCACCTCCACAACCATGGCAAGTATTAGGTATTGAGGGAGGGGGTGATAGTCCTTTTTTACTGTTCTTTTAGGAGTTGAAAGACATTTGTAGTTTTTTCTTAGATGGTTAGACACTATGTACCTGTGAATTGTCTTTTTCCTCAATCCTTGCAGTATCAAGTTTTAAATTCACAAATATGTTAACACTCTTCTGCTATTTTCTGGAGAGTTAATTTGGGATCCATTTCTAATTTAGCAAGCATCCTGGATACACTACACAGCAGAAGTAGAGGTTTGTTCTTTTTTTTTCTGTTTATGATTGGGTTTCCAGTTCCTTCTAAAGTCTACTTCTATTCTATACTTCTAGCATTTGAGACTGAACTCTGAAATGTTATTCACTAATTAAATCTTGACTGCTTCCAGTCTACAGTTAGCTGTTATCTTTTCTGCATAACTTCAAGAACTTCACTTCCTGACCTCAGACAGCACCACACAGTAACTCTCTAGCTTGAGCGGCTCTTGGGCCAAGTATTGGGTGACCATTAGTCAAAAAAAAATGTTCAAAATGTCTAAAAATGTAAAAGCACACCTTTCTCACAATATAGCATTGTTAAAAGACATGTCTTTGAGGATAACAGGTAAAAAACAAGGCAAGAACTTACCGTTTTTGAATCCTGTGAAATTGACGGTCCTAAGAGGAGATTCTGTCTTAAGGTTTATGAGACCCATCATAATACAGTCTAGCAGGGACATATTTCCATGGCCTTCCCCAAGGATCTGGGTGAGATAACCTGGCTGAAGGTAATCTTCCAAGGGCATTAGTGCCTGTAAGTCAAGTACTTGATGGGGCCAATTTGAAACCAAGAACTCAATTGAAATTAGCTCCTTTTGAAGAATGGCTTCTGTCAATAATCCTGGAAACAGATCGCCAGGAATATCATTGCTTTTCATCTTACGCATACGAGATGGATCACAGACCAGTTTCATGATACTCAGCTGGGACAAATATCTAGAAATAGTAAGGTAATAGAAATGCTTTATTTTGAAACAAAATATATTAATATAATAGAGCAAGTACATTTATTTATATATATACCAGGTGTAACAGTAAAATTGTCCAAATCATGTTGCAGCATAATTGGCCATCCCACAAAATGTTTAATATATAAAAAACACTAAACTAATTAAGTTTCTTTTATTCAGTTTTTTCAGATAAGATGTTTAGCTATCTTGACAACATTTGTCATAAGAATCATTGAAAAGCACTTATTCAGCTTGAAATAGAACAGGTTAAAATTGTTTTGTGTCAACGTCACTGTCTTCCCAAATGAGCAATGGTGGGAGGAAAAAGATCATTCAGGCCTTCAGTAATGGTAACAGCATTCATACTCTGAATTCTATCTTCAAAGTCCATTCAAGAACCATCAAGAGAATGGTGAATAAGTTTAAAAAGGGGGAACAGTAGAGAGGAAAACTGGATCAGGAGAATACAACAGGAAGAGGAATCATCATTTCAACTTACAGCTAAAGAGATCAATTAGAAAAGTTCCAACTCAATCCATAAGATGTTTGGTATGTGAGAGAGGCATTTCAGCTATGACAGTCCAAAGAGCAGTGAAATCTGTGAAGCACCTTGTTACTCCAGGATAGAAAGTTAGAAGATTAGAGAGGGTGAAGATCATCTCGAATAAGTTGGAAAATGATCCTGGAATAATATATATATATATATATATATATATATATATATATATATATATATATATTTGAAATTTATCTCATTACTCCATGAGCTTCCAATCCTTAGCTATGATTGATTAATGATGAACATGTCATTTTGTTTATGATCAATTTCATCACAAATCTTCTGTTAAGCTTGGAGAGTAATTATACATTCTTATTGCTCAAACTACAGTCCAATAGTGTTATAAAAACCTTGAAGAATTCCAGTAAGATATCTTTAATCATTTTTAGGATACAATGGTTGAAAGCTTAATCTAACAAATGGACAATTTTGCTGTTGCATAATTTCAACAATTTTGCTGTCACACCCGGTATGTATGTATATATATATATATATATATATATATATATATATATATATATATATATATATATATTCTAAAAGAAAGTAATGGATTTTTATTCATTCAACAGATTTTTTATCACTTTAAATGTTATTTTTAATGGATATTCATATTTAAGTAGACACTCCATTTACTTATAAAACAGGATATTTATTTTCATTTACTGGCTTGAATGTTTGTGAAATCTTATTAAAGAAAAATTTGAACTCTCTGGCAGGATTCAAACATGCATCCCCCTGGGCAGAGGGAGCTACCAGCACTCCCTAAGCAACTAAACTACAGACAACCAGCTGATACTGTTTAATAAATAACCAGAGCATCTACTCAAATATGAGTATCCACTAAAAATAACATTTCAAGTGTTTATATAACAGATTAACCAATACACACAGACCCACACACACACACATATATATATATATATATATATATATATATATATATATATATATATATATATATAATAACTATATTGTAAATAGCAAAGATAGTTTAACCAAACAGCAAATATTGTTCAATGAAATTATTGTCAAAAATTTGAAAAACTGTCTTTATTTTTATTTAATAAACCAAGCAAGCTTTTATATTACCCAATTAAAAAGAGAGAAATATTTCAAATAATCTTTAATGAAAAATTTTTTATGTGTAACTAAACAACCTTGTAATCCTTTCAGTCATATTTTGAAAGAAAATTATGCACTCACTTGTGTAAAATAACCACAACAGCAGTGGTAGTAGTAATTCTCAATTACTTTAGTCTCATATCAATGAGATACAAATACAAAAATATACTTGGCCCCTGGCCACTCTGCTGTTTATATAACACTGGAGGAGGTAACATATCTGTCTGTGGAAGTCCCCAATTATCTAATGAGACCTTCCATTTCTGTTTTTGTCCACCAATGACGGTAAGGGCCATCTTATTTCTGGATCTGAATAAAATTGACAATTTGTAATTCTCGAAGTGGGTGACAATGTTCATTGTAAAAGTGCTTGTTCCGCATGTGCCTTTTAGTCATTGCTACTTGTCTCAGTTCACCAATTTCTCTCCACTGTTTATGTATTTGGTATTTGTCCCATAGGACAGGGAGGTGATCTTTGATAACACAACCATATAATAGCAGGAGACATGTCAAGAACTTGGACAGGAGTGTTGCATTAGGTCAGTAAAGTATGGGCTGCACAATCATGACACAGCCAACCACAGCTGTTCCTGTTGTCTGTGAGTATATGTTTAGCCATTTTGATGGCCAGTTCTGCCCGACCATTGGTTTATGTAAAGTAAGCCAATGAATATGTTTCCATATTTCCTAATTCTTAAAGAACAAGTCGTATTCTTGGGAATCAAAAGGTGTTTCCTTATTGGAAGAAAGTTCTTCAGGTGCACCATATGTACAGTATCAAGTTCTCAGGATGTTGCATACGGCCCTGGCATTCCCAGATGACATTCCACTTCCACCCAGCCAGTGTTCTGATCTGCATATATAACATTAATTCTACCGTGTAGGTCAAAAAGTCAATCACAGTTTGTTGGAATGTGAATTCAAGGTTAGATAGTGGCATCAAGGGCACCTTAGGCTGTGATGGGGCAATAGAATTACTTATCTGGCATTGGGCTCTGGTCTGCCAGACGCTGGCATCTAAACCAGGCCAAAATAGGTATTGTCTCACATTTGCTAGTATGCCATTTATACCCTGGTGTACAGAATGTAGGGATTCAAGTACTTCCACACAAAATTCTCTTTGATTGGTACTCCTTCAATGCAGTACAATTCCTCGTGCATGGTCCAAAACCAAGAAATCACTGATGGGAGGTCACGACATGATTTGGGGAAACCAGTTTGTCAGACTCTGATGGAATATATACATTCTTCATCAATGGCTGCTGCAGCAATGATCCTATCCCATGTGATAGCCCTCAATCTGGGGTCATGCATGTATGTGGACATGAATGCAGCCTTGATTGCATTGTCGATTGGTTCAACTGCACCAGTTGTAATTGCCTCATAGAATGACCATCTACGCTTCTGTTTTATATGTGCAGATGATATTTGGGAATGTTCTGTCAGGTCTTATGATGAGATCCACACTGGGTACCGGGAAGTGCAGTTTGGTGCAGCATTAAGTTTTCCAGGGAGATGTTTAATGCTGAATTTGTACTTAAATGTGTATACCTTGAAATTAGAGAGATGTGGGTTCTTTATGTTCTTGATGGTCCAATTTGACAAAATTTTTATGAGTGGTTGGTGGTCAACAGTCACTAGGAAAATCTGGGAATCCCAATATGAATATCTGACATGATTCTAGTCCAGAGACAAGAGCTAGGGCTTTACCTTTGACCAGTACATAGCAGGATTCTGCATTGTTAGTAAAGCAAGATCCAGCCAAAATAATTTTCCAGTGACCATCACTACAATTTGGGTATGCTTCACCAAGGCAATTACAGTGTTTTTGAAAAAAAAAGTAACCAATTCCTGTTTTACCGTAATCTATTGAATGGCATGTTGATTTATTGATCTCAAATGTCTTGACTCTGTCATTGATTTTCCACATGATTACCTGATTCAACTCCTCAAAAAATTTGTCAAATTCTTCATCCCAATAAAATTTTTGGTTCTTCAAGCACAGTAATTCCTGGAAGAGGGCCATTACCTCAGCTTGCAAGAATGCATGAAATATCTGATTCACTAGTCCAAACCAGGACCTGACACCCATGATACTTGTGGGCATAGGAAAGTGAAGGATGAAATATTATTTATAAAAAGCATAAAAAATTTAAGCAACTTGCAGACTAATTCTTGTGCAAAAATTAAGCAATCCAAATAATGATCAAAATCCTAAGTTGATTAAAAAAAGATTGTGTAATTGGTATATAGTGTATATTTTATAGTTATTCAGATATTTACTTTTATATAATTGATGAATTCTAAAAATATTAAATCAAACACTCTAGCAATCTTTGTGGTATTGAATAATGTTGTATTTTTGGTAATGAGAATTCTTGTGGGGTCATGTTTTTAGTGCATGTTAAATGTTCAAAGGTTTCTCAGAGTTTCTGCTTAAGGAATTACTTGTATATATCTTCTGTAGGAAATGCATCATGTTCATCAACAAAAAAATTATTAAGTAACTTCTGCAAGCACAAAATTAAAAATTAAGGAGGCAAAATAAGATGATAAAATTTGTGCATGTGTGTGGTGTTAAATCAGATGCCAATCTTTAAAGATTCCTAATTGTATTATTTTTTATCTAAACTTTTCACAAAATGAATATTTTTAGATCTATTATTCTACTTTAAACATTTTTGGTTTTGATTTTAAATACATGTAATGCAATATTCCATGTAAGTCTAAATATACCGACAATTTTTTTGTGAATAAGCACCTCTGTCACACACCTGTGCTAATGTAATAGTCAAATAACAATCTAGGATATAACAACACATTTCTATTACATATGTTAACATAATTAGAATTAAAAAACACATGGAGGACATAAATATAATACATATAATGAAATGAAAATAATACATATAATGAAATGAAACGGATTTAAGCTGCTTGTATATTTATTGCCAGTGATGTCATTGGTCCTCATTAAATGAGATGATGAAAGGTAAGATCTTGTTTCTTTTGCAGTACTTGGAAGAGGTAGCAAATCTGGGGAAGAAAGAAAACCAAATATGAGTTTGTTTTTCTTTTTTATCAGGAATTCCTGTCCTTATCTCTTGCAGAG